AGAGAGAGGTGAAATCCATAATTTATTTTGTTTGAATTTTAAAGTCTTGTTTATTTTCATAAAATTTTAAAACATAAAATGATCTTGTGTTGTGGTTTTATTTCAAAGTAAGAAATAATGTAAATATCAAAAAATCTTTCTAACCTTATGAAATGATTTGGACCAAATCTCACCACTTGGGAGGAGGAACTCCACTAATACCATGAAAAACTATCTAGGTAGAAATCTACCATTAGTTTAACAACTCTTCAATCTAAGGTTCACAAGCCCTCCATGCAAAAGCTCAATATCAAGTTGTTAATAATGGTCAATCTCAACACTTATATAATACCAATAATTATATTCTTTCTTTGTTGTACGATTGAGGTGTTACAATTACAAAATAAAATTATGTTAAATAACATTTGTTAGCCTTTTATGGTGAACTAACGGTGTTTGATGACGTAACACAAAAATTAAAACACCAAAATGAACAGGTGTTGATGTTAAAAATAAAGGGAAGTAGATGATATTATTAAAGAAATATTTTGTATAAGGTTGATAATCAACAATTTTCGAAGTAAAAGGGACTTCGATTCACTTATATGCTCTAATTCGAGTAAATTTTCTTATTAGTTTTTAATCTTTTGGAAGTAAGAAACTTTCATCACCAATTTTTGTTGATTTTTTTAAACTATATGGTTGTGTTCTTAGAGTACAAGTGAGTAATTATTGTGCCATTTTAACATTAATTAGCAATGAAAAATATAAAAATTATCATTAATTTTACCACTAGTGTCACTTAAATTATTTTAATTAGAGAGTTGTTTAAATAAAGATCAACTTTATTAATATTAATTAATATAAAAAATATAATAATTACACTTTTAACTTGTACTTAAGAGCAAGATGTTAAAAAATTCATTTCTATTTTGTGACTTATTAATCCTTAACCTTTCTTAAAAAAATATTTTGTAGTCCTGTTATGAAACCACTAATTTAATTTGTACAATAGAATGACATTAAATATCTCTGGCTAGGGATTCAAAGGTCTTGAAATAATATTAAGGATAAAGATCTCACATACTAAAAAGATTGGGAGTCATAAGAGAATTTTTTAGAATTTAATGGGCAGTGACCCCTTATTTGAAGGGATCTTTACAGACATAGTATACAATGCTAATTTTAGCTTAGGCATTTGTGCCACCTAACATTAATTTAGCAAGCTCTATCAATTAACATGTATTATGTCAATGATTTTCCAATTTTATCAACGAGCTTGACAATACTAAGCATTCAAAACTTGAAATTTGGGTGGAACTTTTCGTTGAATTCACCAACAAGGGATACATTGTTATTTCCTATTTTCACCAACATATAGTACAATATTATATTATTTTGCCTTCCAAAAAAAATTAAATTTCATAAATTCTTTCTCTCAATATTCTATAAACGAATTCCCTAAATAACAATTTAATAAATTCTTAATGCTATCGACATGTTATTCTATTAAAACCATTCCATCACCACCTGCCTCAATTCTTGTAATATCCCAAATTTTCTGAAATTCTAGCATTTAAGTTGAGGCCTTTTGTGTGAGAAAATATTGTTATGGGGCCTAATAGCTAAAAACTCCAAAGTTGAGGTACTTAAAAGAAAGGAAATGAGATAAGGATCGGTTTCTCTTTCTTTTTCTTGTTTTTCTTTCTTTCTTTTCTTCCTCATCAGACCCGCGACCTACTCTTCTTCTTTTCTC